AAGAACTGCCCAGCCATTTCCCAGAGTGGCTGTACTGTTCCACATTTGCACCAGCAACATTAGTGTTCCAACTGCTGCCTGTCCTTGCCAGCACTAGTTCTTGCTTTTTGATCTTAGCCCTCCTGGTGCGTGTGAAGTGGTATTTCATTGTGATTTAGATTTGCTTTTCCCTGATGACTGATTTGAACATCTTTTCATGTGATTATCGGCCATTTATATCTTCTTTGGAGAAATGTGTATTCAGATAATTTCCTCATGTTTAATTGGGTTATCTTTTTGTTAACGAGATTTTAAGAGTTGGGTTTTTTTCTATTGGAAATTCTTTTCTCTCATCAGATAGATGATTTGCAAGTATTTTCTCCCATTCTGTGGGTTGTCTTTTTACTTTCTTGAAGGTGTCCTTCGATGCACAAGTTTTTAATTTTGATGGACTCCAATTTCACTTTTTGTTTGGTGGTTTTGTGCTGCTTTTGGTGTTGTATCTAAGAAAGCATTGCCAAACCCAAGGTCACCAAGATTTTTTCTTCTTTCTGCTAGGAGTTTCGGCTCTTACATTTAAGTTGTTGGTCCACTTTGAGTTCATTTTTGTGTTTGGTGTGATAGAGGTCCAAGTTCCTTCTTTTGCACATGGATATCCAGTTGTCCCGGCACCATTCTTTAGCAGCACTAGTATTTTTATTTAAACTTTTTGTTAACTTAGAACATAGATTGCAGAGAGTACTATAATGAACCTCCAGTTTCAGTTACCATCATTCTGCCATTCTTTTTTCCTCTACCATTGATTTCCCCTTTTGTTCTTCCTGGAGTATTTTAAATAAAATCCCATTTTTAACAGTTTTTCAGGTGATTCTAATTTATAGCCAAAGTTGAACTACTGTTGAAAAGGATCATCAAAATCTTATCACATAAGTTTCTTGATACTTAGAAAGCATTTTGAAATTTACTTTTCATTCTACAAGAGGGAACTAAAGGTTACTTACTCATTTAAAAACATTATTTTAGTACTTAAATCTCAGTCTAGGATTCTGATCTTCTGCCCCACGATCATGTGTTGCCTTTCTTGGCCATTTACTGGTTGCTTGAAATTTGAGCATCAAAATCATGCCTCGATTGCAGAGTTCTGATTAATGTCGTCTGTTCCGTACAGTCCATCAGAACCGCAGACTGTTGCCCTCTGACTAGTTCAGTTGGGTTTCTCCAGACAGAACCGTTGCTGGCAAAGCTTTGACATGTCACTGTTTCTAACTGCTGTACCTTTTCATGTTTTCCTCCACTGCTTAACTCAGGGTGTTTTATCTTCCAGGTACATCCCCACAGCAGCTGCATTTGGCGGTTTGTGCATTGGCGCCCTGTCGGTGTTAGCCGACTTCCTAGGGGCCATCGGCTCTGGCACTGGAATTCTGCTTGCAGTCACTATAATTTATCAGTATTTCGAAATATTTGTTAAGGAACAGGCTGAAGTTGGTGGGATGGGCGCTTTGTTTTTCTAAACGTTCAAATATTTCTTTTTGTGCGTGTGAAAGGGAATTATTTTGACAATTTTTTTTTTCAAATAATGCTGGTGGTTCCCTTCCCCACCCCCCAATCAGTTTGTCTTCAAGTGCTGACTGTCCCGCTTTGAAATGGGCACCGAGCTAAGCCTGTGTGCAGCATTAGTACCAGCTGCCTTAAAACTAAAGTTTACATTATTCATTACAAAATGTACATCTAGTGTTGCCTGTAATGCTGGAAACCAATGTATCTACCTTGCTGTGTTCAATCATGACAGTGAGATGGTGACATGGGTTAGTTTTGCACACAACATTCAAAACACTTAATATTCCCCCCTACTTGTTTAAAAATAAATGTAGTTCAAATTGCCACTTTCCAGTATTTTTGAGCTTATTTAATGAGTTCTGGAACATTTATATCTAATCTATATTTTAGATAATTACTTTTTATACTTTTTTAACTCATAGTATCCCCACACCCCCTCTTTTTATTTGTCCCTTTTCCAAGCAGCCATTTAGCCCAGATGGGCAAAATCATGCATCAAGTTATTTCTGTCACTAGAAACAACTGCTTCAAATTATTCTTCCTGGTTTTCTTTCCTCCTTTCTTCCCAGTGACAGCATAATGAGTGCTGTTGGACTGTATTGGCTATGCCTTCTAACTCCAGCCAGTCACTTGAGAATACTCTTTCAAGATATTATGCCCCAATTCTTTTTTCTTTTTTTTTTTAAATCTGTAAAGCAAAGATCTAATTCTCAAGCAATGTCTGTAGTTCAGTGGGGGTGAACAATGAGTAATTCATGCTAGGAATTTGTGTATGTTGTTGTACTTATAGCAGCAACACGAGTGTAAACAGTAGACAATAAACGTTTATTTAATAAAACTGTTTCAGTTGTGTTGGAAAAATAAAGAAATCTGATGTTAAATGTTTTCTAAGATTATTTGTATAGGTTTAGTGTATTCTTACAAAGGTCCATCCTGAGATGCCCATTGAAAGAAGCTAAATGTAATTATACTTTAATCCTAAATTATTGAGGGACATTGACCAAGTTGAGAGTACTCAGTCATGTGGCTAACATTTGGGAAGGAACAGGAAAACAGTGGTCTCAAAACAGTATCCCAGTTACCATTTGCAAGAGTACAGTTCTTTGTAAATAATTCATTTTTAAAAGGATATGCTTTATTTCTCACAAAAAGATGAAATTTTTTTTTTAAATACCTTTTTCAGAAGTATGGTTTTTCATTGTTGTTTACTTTCTTACTGAGTGAAATATGTATGTCTTAGGATCACAAAGCCAAATAATTACAGGAGCAACACAGATAATGGGAAGCAGCATGGGCCGGATGCAGTGCTCAGGCCTGTAATCCTCACACTCTGGTGGGAGGCCGAAGCAGAAGGATCGCTTGAAGCCAGGAGTTCGACACCAACGTTAGTAAGAGTAAGACCTCATCTCCACCAAAAATAGAACAATTAGCCGGGCATGGTGGCACATGCCTGTAGACCCAGCTCCTCGGGAGGCTGAGGCAGGATTGTTTAAGCCCAGGAGTTTGAGGTTGCTGTGAGCTATAACACCACTACACCCTAGCTGTGATGACAGAGTGAGACTGTGTCAAGAAATTAAAAAAAGGGAAGCTGGATGGCAGCAAGGGTCCACCGGAGAACATCTCCCAAGGGCCTCAGACCACTGTTAGAAATACAGGCCCAGTGTTATCACATCTTTTTCTTCAAAAGAAGGTAGAAATATGTTTAATAGGAAAGCTTCAATTTTGAAATGGCAGGGCAAATAATTTTAAAGAGGCCCAGCCAGTGAAAACAGCCAGACTGCCAGTTCTCAAACTTTGACTTAATTTCCAAAGCACAGCCTTATTAGAAAAAATATAAATGGCATTAGAGATACTTTCTAGGATTAAGCTGTCACTTCTTTGTTAAAGTCTTAGGAAGAAAGGCAGGCAGAGAGGACAGGGGTTAATTTAAGAGACTCGGGCAGTGCAGAGGCAATATATGTAACCAAAGTGTTTGTACCCCCATAATATTATAAAATGAAAAAAAAGTTTAAGAGCAGGTTATGGCCATGGGGAGTAGCTCGGAAGAACTGGTCTGTGTGGAAAGACTGGCCTGTGCTGAGTCCATCCATGCCTTCTTGACTTTGCAGGAGGGGAGTGACAGAGGAGATTATAGGATGTGGTCCTTTGGAACTTAGGGAAAACAAAGATCTTTGGAAAAATCAAGCTCATGATTAAAATCAAGATTTTTAAAAGGGGCTAAGGGGAATAGGGAAAGGCTACTGTTATAGCAAGTAGTTGGATCTTAATTTTCACATTTATAGGAACAGTAGACTTGATCTATAAAGTTCTATACTTCCATAATTGTTTTTAATCCTCATCTAAAAAGTCCAGTATAAAGATATTGTATTTTCACTCATAAAAATACCTCTGGTAAGACAGTGAACCTGTAAACAAATGAACTTTAGCAGCATTCTGGGCATCAGTACCCTGACTGTCCCTGGAGAACCACTTTCATATGGTTCCAGGTGCCTGGCCTACCCCCTGCATCCGGGCTAGCAACATGACTTAGGGCCGGCCAGTGAGAAGCATCCTGACGCTTGTATAGGGGCTAAAGTGGAAAGTCCTGGAAAATCCTGGAGCTGCTGAAGGCCCTAGAAGTCAACATGAGCTAAGCTCACTTGAGATTAAGAAAATGGCCCAGTAACTCGGGTAGAGCTTTTGGATGACAGGGACTTTAGCAACAGTTATACCATTATACAATTACACAGTTCTAGCATTTTTTGGTCTGAGTAGTTTGTATTGGGTTTCAAGTACTGGCTAACCTTGCTGGCTTTTACTAATGTTTTAATACAAGAGTCCCCCATACCAAGCAATCTCGTTACTAAGGATTTGTTTTTAGAAACTTCAAGTATTCTTGGAGGTAAGGATAGGGAATCAGATTCTAAAGTACATGCACACATCTAAGGGAAGGGCCCTGAATTTCCATTAGTCTCTTAGCCTTGGTATAGCGAATAGAATCAACCATTTTTCATTATGTAAGAGCTTGGTCAGTTTCAGTAAAGAGGTGGATATACGGACATTAACTAAATGTATTTGCTTATCACAAATGTTATTCTCTATTGATTTTACATCTACTACTGAGTTGAAGTCCATATAGGAAATAATTTAATTAGAAGAGGCCAAGAAAGTCCCAGTATAATTTTTTTTAAGCTCTGTTTTAAACACTAATGCAGTAAAGTAAATCATCATTTGCATACCGAGTTACAGAATTATATACTGGAGGTTGAGGGTGGGAATAGCTGACCTAATTTGGAACTCAGGTCTGTTTTCCTATAGAAATACCATATCTCCTGGACTAGAGAAGAAGTAACAGTTGAGCTTAAAAAAAAATTGGAGTAAATATATCTGCATTTGTGTTCTTTTTCATTAATGTTAGCTGGAGTGTAACAAATTAAATGAAGGTTACAGCCTACCTGTAATTACAATTCCATACCACCACCACATGCATTCTGTGCTTTTATTTTATGAAAAAGCTAATTTAAAATCTACATTAAACTAAGGTGAATACAAAGTCTTAGTGAAGAAGGCCTGCTGGTCTCATTTATAAAAACATATGGCCACTGTTGTCTTTACCCTTAAAATTTCAGGAAGGGCACTTCAAATGGCTTCGTGTTTGCGTGTTTCAGCGCGAGAGCATAGGAATAGACTCTGGCATCCACTGTAAGATGTTCTTCAGCTACCAGAGCTGCAGGAGGCAAAGAATACAACACAGGTAATGCAGTTAACGAGAGATAATATGTCTTATCATTCAATCAATATTTACTTAAGCAACTACTATATGCCAGTTTCTATGCCAGATGCTGGTGATACAATTATGTTTTGCTTTCGAGCATCTTTAAAGGGAGAAGAAAGGCTATGAAAGCAGGATTACGTTCCCGGCATGGGACAAGAACATCAGGGATAATGATTTTATGTGTTACAACAGCAAAGCTATAAGTTTACAGACCCAATTGTTACACTTCATTTATAGCTCAGGGAGGGCTTTGCTACCCACTACATGGTGATTACACATTATCTTATTTAGGGACTCGTGTCTTTTTCACTGCTGGGAGACACCCCTTTTCCCCCCTACAAGTTAAACTGTGTGCGCGTTAGGAGGAGAGGTATACTACCAAGAATGAGGTCTCAGGATCGTGATTACCACAGGTTTTTATGAGAACTTCTGTTTCACTCAGATGGAAGTTGTCAGAATTTAAGTCTATCTCCCAGCCACTTGTTTGGGAACAAGCTCAGAGACATTTTGGTCTTTGAAGGCGGATCATGTTCTACTCATCTAGACATGGCAGGTGTGTGCTGAGTGTTGAATGCTATTCTTTGTAGCACTGTGGTCTTAAGTGCCTTCCTTACAACTTCTCAAATGTTACCTGATTAAAAGATTTGATTACTATAGTTTGAGTCCACGAAAGCTAGTCAATCTGGCTCTTTTATCCCTTCCTCTTTGTACAGATAGCTCTTTCTCCCTCCTCCCCTTGCTCTATTCTTTTCTCCCTCTTCTAAGACCGGAAGGGAAGTTAGGCAGAAGGGAGAAGGAAAGCACTTTTTAGAAGTGATACTCTTCTAATAAAAAAACAATAAAAAGACACAGCATATAACATTTAAACACTGGCAATTCAAGTGCTTTGCCTACATTACCCCATTTTTCCACCGACTTCCTCGGAGGGGCTGTTCAAAGTGGTAACTAATATAGTCACCTGAGCCTCAAACCCAGCCAGGCCTGTCAGTAGTGTTGCCACGGCTTTCTCTGAATAAATGCCAATAAATTACTGCATCTCTTCAGTATGATTATTTCTAACTCTGGCTTTGAGACCTGGAGGTGGGGTTTACCCTAGGTCTAGTTGATCAAAAGGTAAAGGGGGAATGGAGGCTATCCGGGCATCTGAAATCACAGCAGCTTTGGAAAGACCCACTTAATTTTTCAAACAAATAACAGACATTTTAAAATCAAGTGCTCTGCTTATGAAGTGAAACTGTAAGACACTGGTACTCATGGAAGGACATTAGAAAGTGTTCTCAAAGCTTCAGGTCAAATTTTGGAGAATTAATTATAATACTTAAAAACAGCAGAAAATTTAGGTATCAATTACCTGAAATACAACCAACAAAATATCCAAATTATGGGAAGCATCTGCTGTTTTCTAAATGAGTGACTGGGATGTGCCCAGCCAGCAAAAAGGAAGTCCCTGTAGGGCCCACGTCCTATCTTTGGTGCGGTATCTGCCCATCTAGTTGTGTCACATGTGGACATCTCTCCGTGTAACTTGACTATTTTTTACAAAATCCCTATGAGATGAGCCAGCCAAGAATCACAATGTAACCACATGACCAGTGATTTACTAAGGGTCACATAGCTCGTTAGTTTGGTTTTCTATGCCAGCACAGCAAGTATAGAGTAGACACCTCAAATATTTGTCAAAGGAATATTGTTAACCTCTCCTTTTACATTCTTCACAAAGGACCATCTGACACACTGGTTTATTCAAGGAAAAGCTAAGAGACAGCTACTTACACCTTTGCGTCACTACAGACTAAAGACTTATAGACTGCCTCGGGGCAGTTAGGAGGACATAACCAGTATTGTTATTGATTATTGATCATACTGATTATGATCATACTGATTATGATAATGATCTTGACCATTCTGTAGGAAAAAAGCCTCTAAAACTGTCACTTGACACAGAATGTTTGCTCGTATTTTCAAATCTCTGCCACCCCGAATGGAGAATTAGTATTGGTCAACTCCAGTTTTACGTCAGTGTCTAGGCATTTGACTTCAATGCTATGTAGAGGATAAAGAAATGGAGTTATATTTAATACCCCACTTGCTGGGGATGGGCACAGGGGAAAACAGAGGGAATTGGGTGACAATCTTGAGAATGCTTACCATCAATTCTCTTCAGCAGGTCATTCTTTGGTAATGAAATTACTTCCACAAATTCTAAACAAACAAAGTACAAGTGAAAACAAAGCTAAAGAACAAGGGCCTGCCTACCAAAACCCCCCCAAACGTCTGTAGCCATTACCACTACACTAAGCCATATGGTCAGCCACTGCGGTTGAATAACATACCTCCGTCCCCTGAAAACAAACAGAAGGAGAATGTTTTAGCAAGGTCTGGAGTGGTCATACATTGGAACACTTTTATGCAAGACACATCGCAAAAACTGTAAGAATTTACCAGAAACCTGGGTCTCCGCTAAGTTAATTTACATACATAGTAAAAACAAATTCTAACAGTACAAAGTTATTGTTCATTAAATAATGTGTAATGGCAAAATTTAAAGCATATTCTATAATTCTATAATATGTATACAGCTTTTTGACATATATATCTGTATATGGTGCAATATATCTATATGTATTAATATATATAACATACAAAAATTTACCATTTTAACCATTTTTAAAGGTACAATTCAGTGGAATTAAATAACATTCACAGTATTATGCAATCATCACTGTCCACCTCCAGAACTTTTTCATCATCCCAAACAGAAACTCGGTACCCCTTAAACAGTAACTCCCTATCCCTAGTAACCTCTATTGTACTTTCCATTTCTAGGAATTTGTCTCTTTGGGGTACCTGCTATGAGTAGAATCACACAGTATCTGTACCTGGTTTATTTTACTTAGCACAGTGTTTTCAAGGTTCATCTGTATTGTAGCATGCATCAGCAGGTTTCATTCTTTATGGCTGAATAATATTCCACTGTGTGTATGTACATAAACTTTGCTTCTCCGTTCATCTGTTGACAGACACGGGCTGTTTCTGCCTTTGGCTATTGGCAGTGATGCTGCTATGAACATGAGTGTACAAGTATCTGAGTCCCTGCTTTCAATTATTTTATTTTATTTTTTTTTTAGGATAGGGTTTCGCTGTGTCTCCCAGACTAGAGTGCAGTGGCATCATCATAGCTCACTGTAGCCTCGAACTCCTGGGCTCAAGCAATCCTCCTACCTCAGCCATCCTTAGTAGGTAGGACTACAGGCGTGTATCCCCATGCCTGGCTAATTTTTTTATTTTTTGTAGAGATGGGGTCTCGCTATGTTGCCCAGGCTGGTGCTTTCAATTCTTTTGAGTATATGCTTAGGAGTGGAAATGCTGGATCATATAATTCTATATTTAACTTTTTAAGGAACTGCCAAACTTTTCCACAGTGAGTCATATGTATATCTGCAGTTCGAAAATCAAGCATTTAAAATTAGCTGCAGTGGGATACTGAAACATAGATATAAACTAAAAACGGTGAGACTGAATCACTCATACGTGATTTACTGTAGTACATATAAATACCCCCTCTTTAAGGGGGTGAGGAAGGACATGGAATTGACAGTGGCATTCAAGCTTTTTAATCTGAACTTGCTAAGAAATATTATAGAGCAAAGAATTTCCTAAGAGCTTCTCTAAATACAGAACTCAATAAGGAATTATGAATAACCTACTGCCCGTAACAATTACGCCATTCTTTTTTTTTTTTTTTTTTTTTAGTTTGTGCGAAGTTGATGTAACAATTACGCCATTCTTACAATATACATGAATAAAGCAACTAGGGCAATTTAGAAGTTTCTCACCGTTTACTATTTAGGCCTCTAGCTCATATTACTAAATGGGAATAAACTTGGTACAGAAAACACAAAAATGTGTAATTTAATATTTTCTATAAAGAAGGATAAAGATCAATGTAGTGAAAGAAAAATGCCAAAACACACAAGATTGGGAAACTAGACAAATGTACATAGTCTAAGAAAGACTAGGATTCCTTCAATGAAAGACTATCGTTGTTTGAACAAATCAAAAGTCAAACTAGTAGCAAGTTAAAAGGTATTTAATGCAACTCTTCCACCTTACTCATAGCCAACACACACCTACCTGGCTTTGGCTTGGGTCGTACGTTTTCTGCATCATCGCCGTTAATGGTTACTGTCACGATGTGTGTGGTACAGTTCGACAAACCTGGGTCCATACACACAACTATGGAGAGAGACGACAGACCGTCTTACACCAGTCACAGGCTTCAGTCCCTTTTGTCATTTGTTTCACTACTTAAATGTCTTAGGAAGAAGACAGGGCTCGTGATTCACAGTTGGCACAGAACTGACGCAGGAAACTACAGTTCTCATGTTCGGTCAGCATATGCTGCAGGACTGCAAAGCATGGATGTGCTAAGTACTCCTATTTTTTCCTAGAGTTTCTGAGTCAAGTCTGGTAAGTCTGAAGGGTTAGATGGTTACTGACAAGTTATCAAATCCTTTCACCATGTCAAGAAAAAAACATCATCTGGCAAGGAACACATGGACGAGGTGGTACATGATATAGCCTGGGGTGTGGGAAATTCTGAAAGGCAAATTAATCATTTCCTAACTCCCCCCCCCAACTATAGGTCCTTCTTGACCCAACTTACTCTCATGGGGAGGAGAGATTCACTCACAAATGGTGACCAACCCTAATCTAGGATGTCTCTTAAGTGAATTAGCCAAAATAAAAGCCATGTGAATTCTGACCATAAAGAATACCCAAATAATCAATCCCTTTATACCTAGAGGAGTCTGTTGCTCAGTGAATTATCAAGAGTATGTCCTTAAGTGCACACCTGGAGAGCAATACCAACCTGGAGAGCATTCAGCAACGTCACCTTTGTAGCCAGTTTCTTCCTCAAGCTCCCGAAGAGCAGCTGCTTCTGGGCTTTCGTCATCATCTATGAGACCTGCAAGTGCAAATCATTTGTAAGCTGGGACAGGGCAATCCAATTTTCTTTGAACCTCTCATTCTTCTAACACAGTTGCTGCTGAGCTACATTAGAAGAATCAGAGCACTGTGAAAATATTCTTACAGATAAAACTGACTGAGGCTTGGAACTTCTATAGAAAAAAAAAAAAGGGCAAAAAATTAAAGCCCTGGGCAGGTTAAGCAGGTTCTGATAGGCATCGTGTGCTTCTCTCATTTAGATCGGGGGCTTTTCATGGCCATCTCAACACAGCTGTGCACAGTGCAGACAGCATCTGGGAGGATAAGTGACACAGTGGCGACTATCTGGCTTAGGTCTGGAGGCTGCTGTGTGACTATAGCACAGGAAAGCTTATAAGTTTTTTGTTTCCTTATATATAAGATGATGACAGTATTACCTATCTTGTCTTCCGCCCTCACAGAAAAATACTGGGACCAAGTAACAAAATGCTAGAGAGGAACAAAGTGAGGGAGGGTTGGTGGATTTTAGGTGGCTGTGCCCACTGTGAGCAGGAAATAAAGAGAGGCCAAGTGTGAGGAGATGGGCAACTACTCACACTATTTTTCCTGAAAGGAGTAAAAAAATGTAAAGAAAAAGTAAAAGGTTAGTTGCTCTTAATATTATTAATTTCTTCAGTAAAATGGTAAGTAAATGATGCATTCTCCTGAGCTCTAGGTCAAAAAAAAAAAAAAAGGAATAAAAGAAAAAGAAATGGTAAGTAAATGAGACAAAATAATTGTTAACTATGTTACCACAAACTTGGCTTTCAAAATACAAAACCAACATCACTGATGACAAATGAGATTTCATCTCTTCAGATGGGAACAATCCAATAAAGGTCTACAGTAATATAGGGCATTGAATTCTGGACAGCTTTTCTGAGCAATTGGAAAAATATTCTCATGCAGATTCAGATAATGTCCTCAGCCTGTTTATACAGGGCAGGCCAAGCTGCCTTTTCCATTCATGGTTTTTAGAGTTAAGAGTCTGGCCTACTTGTCATTGTAAATTTCTTGTTAGAGGCAGATCGCTAGTGACAGAAAATGCAATAAGCTGACAAATTAGGGAACAGCAATTAGAGAGGCCAGAAAGAGCGCTGCCAAGAAGAGGGTGGGCCGGCATGGAAGGGTGGGCTCTGCTACTGTGCCTTACGTCACCTACATGGGTTCACCGGATCCCTGGGGCCTGGTGGCTGGGAAGAGCCTCTCTACAGAAACGGTTTTGTTTTACTTTCCACCACCCAAACAAATAAAAAGGTGTTAAAGACCTAAGCTTTGAGGCCGGGATCCTAGCACTCTGGAAGGCCGAGGCCAGCAGATCGCTCAAGGTCAGGAGTTTGAAACCAGCCTGAGCAAGAGGAAGACCCCATCTCTACTAAAAATAGAAGGAAATTAATTGGCCAACTAAAAATATATAGGAAAAAACAATTAGCCAGGTATGGTGGTGCATGCCTGTAGTCCCAGCTACTCGGGAGGCTGAGGCAGGAGGATTGCTTGAGCCCAGGAGTTTGAGGTTGCTGTGAGCTAGGCTGATGCAACAGCACTCTAGCCCGGGCAACAAAGTGAGACTCTATCTCAAAAAAAAAAAAAAAAAAAAAAAGACCGAAGTTTTACAATTCTCATGCTTTGCCTGAGCTCAAGCCAATGATCCCAGAGAAGCAATGTGATGTTACTATGGTCACTCACCTGCAGGGAATTCAAGGCAGTAGCCACCCATCGGTGGCCGGAACTGTTTCACTAGAACAATGCACTCGTAATGAAGAGTCCTCTGCAGCACAGGGATTACCGCTACACCTGTCACCAGGGAAACGAAAACAAGGAAATCCTTCATGAAAGGTCAGTAATGCCAGCAATATCCTTAGAGCAAGCTAACTAAAACCCCAGATTTTAAGAAACTCTGCATCCAAAATCTACCCTATATTTGCCAGTAGCAATAAGAAGTTAACTTAATCTACAATATTGGCAGTTAACCTTGGAAGCTATTCTCATTGAAAGACATAATTGAAAAAACGAATCACATTTCTATGTTGTTTGAACTTTTTTTTAAATCAAATGCTCGTTTTAGTTGTCACAGTTTCTTAAAAATAAAATCAAAACTAAAACAAAACATTTCACACAAGGTTAAGGACATAAAGTTTCAGTCTACACTAACCTTTACATGGGAACCATTTCTTACCATGCAGCAGCTAGGCTGTTGGTGAAGTTACAATGACTTATGTTCTCTTGGATTTCCTTTAAGCAATAAATCAAATTACATTCCACTGTTTGTAATATATGCTAGACTGACTGTTTTAGGATCTTCCAAGTTACTCGGTCTCATTCAATACAAAAGAAAACAAAAAACTACTGGGTTCTGGAAAACACCAACCACCCGGACGGAGCACTCAGCTCATCCTAAAAGCTTTTCCATTAGTTAAGAACATCAGCTGGAGCACAGCTACTCTTGTTTGCTTCCAGTGAAAACAGAAACCAGAACAAAATGGAAAAATAAGAAAGACCTATTGCCCAACTTCCCCTAGACCAGAGGTGATTTTCAGGATTGTTTCTGGGCTCTTTGCAGTCAAAGCATTCATGCCTGGAAGGGAAAGTGAACTGAATGAATAATCTTTTCCCAATTCCATTTCCTTATCAACTTACAAAGCGAGTGGCCAATAAGCATAAAGAAGTACCAAATAATTTGTCCAAACTAAAGGCTCTCACCTAGATCCTTTAAATAGAATACAAAGGATTTCTAGGAGTCATAACAGATCTTGACACAGCATGGGCCTTCAAAGTATACTGAGTTATGTTTAGCTATAAACATTAGTACATCTTCCCCTCAAAAACACTGTTCTGATAAAAAACAAATGAAACAATAAAACAATACACTGTTCTGAACTTAAATTGAGCCAGAAGTTATGCATAAAGAACACTTGCTATAGTTACATAGCATTGCAAAAACTATTAGGAGACTTAAAGGTAAAAGATCATAATTGAAGATCATAACTCTGCTCTGAGATCTTGGTTACATTAAAAACTCTCCTATAATCACGTGCTAACTTCCTTTACAAAGAGTTCTTATAGGTTTGTACTCATACCATCAGCAGACTGTCCCTTCCTGGTTGTGCGTTTCACTGTTTCCCAGGTTCTGTTCAGGCAGAGAAGAAAAAAGTCATTAGTGCAAAAGAGGAGAATTTTCTTAGGTTTTCTCGAGTACAACCAGAAGTTCTTAAATGCATGCAATGCATGCAAATGTACTAATGATCAACAAGACTGCAACAATAAAGATCTGCATAGAAAAAGCTACCTGTGCTCTCTATAGCTTCTGAAAATTATCAAAGAAAACCATCACCCTAATTCTCTGGGTGCCAACCAAACAGAAGCCTGCAGAGCATTTGAGCTCTTCAGTTTGGATCAGAAGCCTGTGGGCAAGCAGCACAGTTGGTGGTCACAGCTTATTAAGCAGGTGATGCAAATGAAGCCCACAGAATCCCAGCCCTATCTCTAAGAACAGAAGTTACTGTACACAGTGTGAACTATTGCCATAGTTATTGATATAATTTTGACTTTTAAAGTATGTGACCTAAGACATACAATTTAAGAAAGTAGAATGTTTCCATTTATTAATCGAGGAATTATTAAATTTAGGTAAGTGCTCTACTTTGCATGTGGGAGACCTTATCTAAAGGGAAAAAAATGGTTCCTGGAGGAAAAAGTGAGTTGAATAACAGCAGATTCCTGCTCCCTTTTCTGGCTTTATTCCTAGGTAGGTATTTGTTTCTATCTGTTACCTAATTCAGTTATTTGGTAACATCTGTGCTATTCTACTTCCTCTCCTAGGAACACTGGACAGAGCTGTAGGGAAAATTCACTTACTAAAACAATTATGCAGTTTAAAGGGAAAGGGCATATAAGGAAAATTCCCCCTTCATCCTCTTGTCCCTATAACAGAAAAAGCAGTGTGGAGAGAGGGGAGTGGAGAAGCAATTCTAGGGTTGCTTCTAAAGGAAGTAAGACGTGTGGGTGACTCTGGGGATTGGGATAAAAAAGGGTCAACATCTGCATCTCAACAGGAAGAGTTATATAAGACCGTGACTCTGAGGAATCCTCTTGCTCATTCTTTTTATCTAGTTGTCCCTAAAATTTGAACCTTGCTACATCTCTATAAAAAATTTCAGATATTTAATCTGGTTTGAAACAAAACAGGAAAAAAAAAAAAAAGAACTTTCTGTAAATTGTAGATCTTTCAGCACTATACCCAAATGCTAAAGGGCAAATATGTCCAAATGAACCTAGGACGATCAAACAGACTACTATGAGAGCTCACAGCAGCCCGGCATTCCTGTTAGTAGCAAGAAGCCAACCAACAAGCAATGCTGGTGACAGTACAGACTGCAAGAGACAGAACACCTTTCAGCACAGCTCGCTCTGCTCCCTCTTAAGGTTAGTCCTAAAGACTGAAGAAGAGCTGGGGAAACCACTGATGGTCCCATCCCAAATACACTAGGAATAAGGGAAACAAAAAGAGTAGCATCATTATAGTGGTTAAGGTAAGGTAACTAAGCAGTAATGAGCCATAAAATAGAAATGCATTTTCAAATATACTAGAACAAGAATGCCCCGTGAGAGCTCCAAATCCTAAAGGGACTCCGAGAGATGTACAGCTGATTGGCATTCAGAAAATCTCATTCTCTACCAAAGCGACAACCTCCTGGAGACTGTTTTCTCCCTTGTAAAACTTGGCAATGAGTATGTTATCTCCAAACCCTCTTGTAGCCTTAGAACTCTGCTTCCATTTAAAGCACCCATTCTTCAGTCTCCTTTGTTACAAGAAAGCCTGTTTCCCTTCTTCCCTCTAGTTCACCAACTCAAGAGGCACAGAAGGGTAACAAAGGATGACATCAGCATTCTCTCGAAAGTTAGCAAAGGGACATACTGCCAGCATTTTTATGCTTCTAAAATTAATTCCATATCCTCTTCCATGAATGTGACAGTGGAACAAAGGATTCTCTAGCTGCTGTTTCATCCCCTACACACGGCCCTCCGTACCTGTGGGTTGTGCATCTGTGGATTCAACCAACCGTGGATCAAAAATATCTGGAAAAAATTTGTCTGCACTGAATATGTACAGACTTTTACTTGTCATTGTTCCCTAAACAATACAGTGTAACAACTGTTTATACAGCATTAGCCTTGTATTAGGTATTAGAAGTATCTACAGATGATTTAAAGTATATGGGAAGATGTACATAGGTTATATGCAAATGTGCCACTTTATATCAGGGACTTGAGCATCTGTGGATTTTGGTATCTGCAGGGAGTCATGGAACCAATCCCCGTGGCTACCGAGGGACGAATGTGCAGGTCGAGTAGTCCCTACCTGAAATGCGTGGGACCAGAAGTGTCTCAGATCTTAGACTTTTTCGGGTTAGGGGTTATTTGCATTACCTGTATCATGCTGGCCTTTTGACATTTTCAATTATATTTTTACACCTCAGAGCAGAAGAGAAGCAAAAAGACACAGTGAGTAATGCACACAGGTCTTAGAGCCTTTGGCACATCTGGCCTGCTCATGAGCCATTTTATTCCGCACTTGCATGGGGGAGTCTGGGCATGCGTGGAAAGGATGGGGGCTGGGAGGCTCCTTAGGGACACAGAATAAACTGTGTTGCATGCCTGTGTTTTGACTGCGACCTGTCATATGAGGTTAGGTATGGAGTTTTCCACTTGTGGCATCATGTGGGTGCCCAATAAGTTTGGAGTTTTGAAGCATTTTGAATTGTGTATTTCCAGATTAAGAATGCTCAACCTGTACATACATGCTTTTATATCAGGTAATAGATAACACATTTGATAAATGTATAAATCATGGTGTATTGGAAAGTGCAGAGATTCGTTCTTCAAAGCTTGATATTAGGGTATAAAATACGAGTGCTTTACATAAGACCTCTTTGAAGGCCAGGAGGAAGACCTAGGTGTGGAAGAATGGAGGTGAACATGCTGTAAACAGGCTGTATAATAAATACAGTAATTTGGTAGAGACTTTAGAGCCCACTCCCAAATTGCTGAAACAGACTCTCTGGAAGTGAGACCCAGACATGCGTATTCTAGAAAAAAAGCACAAATGATTCTGATGCACACCCCTGATTAAGAAATGCTGGAAGGGAAGACAAGTCAAATGAAGAGATGAGCTGTGTGATTAACCAACACATATTCTTTAGACTAATTAGGGTTAAGGGCTATATTTTGCATTATAAACCTGGTTTTATAAGAAAAAGAGACCCAAACACTATCACCATAAATTGGGTTCCACTCTGTATCCATTTTTACAAATATAAATACGTTGGAACATACTTTGCTCACTAAGGCGTGGGCTTTGCCACATGTCTATATTGGGTTTGGCCTGTATCCCCTACCTATTCCATAATAAGTTCCACACATATCAAAGTCACTTGACACTTTAAATGAGAGTTACAATCTTCTACTGTGTCCTTGGATCACAGCATGAACTGCTTTTGGGTGGGTTGGGTTTTCTTGTTGTTGTTTTTTTTTTTTTTTAATTTACTTACTTACATACTTACTGTTATACTGGCACCATCAACCAGGTTTGTTGGGTTTTAATTCAACAGTACTATATACATCTTAATATGTTTCCATAGCTCTCCAACATTGAGTTTTATTAAGGTTTTTGTTAGTTTAGTAAATACAATTAAAAGTTGTTTAGATTACAGGCAAGTCCATGTATTTCACCTTGATGATAGATGTATTTCCTCACAAATGGTGTACTCCGATCACTTAGCAAAGTACTTGGAGTTTTTATAATAATGAATTTAAATCATGTAATCTAGACACTAAATTTAGTTATGTTTTCTTATTTTATCATTCTTTTTGTTCCTTTTATATTTCACTAAGTAAATACTTAATATACTTTAACACATTACTTTTTTATGATAGTTTATAATATTAAAATATTACTAAACAAAAAATCTAGAAAAGAAAAAAGGTTAATCACATAGCTTCCATTTTTTTTTGCCATAATTTTCCTTCTAGCCTTTTCTTACACATTACTTTACAGCATTTAAAAAGCATATATGCAATTTTCTATTTTTTTTATCAACTTATTATCTTTTCCCATATTGCTAGCTTGTCATCATAACCTGATGTTATACTTGATGAGAAGCAATCATTATCTGTTTCTTAATGGCTGCATAATTTTTACCAAGTAGCTATACCATTTAACGATTAGTTCCCTGTTTTTAAGACCTTTAGGCTTTCAATTTTTCTGTCTCTTAAATTTTTGAGGAACATTTCTTATACATAAATCTAACGCCAAATAATAGATAATTTCTTTAACACATTCTTGGAAGATGGGATTATAAGGTCGAAGTAAAATATCTTCATGGCTATTGACACATATTGTGAAATATGCTTGACAAAATGTTTTTTTCCAATTTACATTTTTGTTTTCTTTTTCGTTCTTCTAATTTAGAGATTAAAAATTGGTTTTACTAGAAGAAAGCAACATGTACTATTATTCTTTCACCTTAACAGCTTAAATTAGGTTTGGCCTAAAAGTTTTAGGTCTGCACTAGTCTACCGAGGGAAAATGGTGTTAAAATAGGTTCCTGATTAGTTACTGTAACAAATTTACAACACAATTTTATTCACAGATTATCCGAACAGTTTATAAATGATCTGAACAGTTTAATAATGGAAAAATAGCTAAATTAGATTCTTTATTTAAAATAGTTTACAAAAAAGGATCCAACAGTCACTCAACAGAGACCCCAAGAACCCAAATACCAAACAGTTTATAAGAGAAAAAAAAAAAAAGTTTACCTAGTTTTACCAGTAGGATCCATGTAAGTTGTTTTTTCAAGCTTGACCCATTTTCCTTCTGAAATTAACTAAAAGGATATCAGATAATAAGTTGGGAAACTTTCAAATGAAGTTGTTTTTTATCTAAAAGGGTTTTTTTCCTTTCAAATTTCCTCTATGTAGCCCTCCCAATAACCATGTCCCCCCCCCCATAATTTGTGGGTAAGTTTTCAGTTCAGAGTAGGTACTCAAAGTTGTTTTTCTAAAGGGTAGTTCTGCTTCTTTTTTGGAGTTTTTGAGGTGGTACTAAAAGATGAAAAGAAATGACAGTCTGAAAACTCCTGGGGGTGGGAGGGACAGGGGTAACTGGAAGGGGGCACCAGGGCTGAGGGGTTTTCTGGGCGCTCCTGATGTCCTGTCCCTTGATCTGGGTGTGAGCCACAGAGGTGTCTTTAGTATGTAAAGATTCATCATTGTTATTTTGCTGTCAAATGGTCACACACTGGAAAAGGTGATGATGGGGAAACCAGGTCAATGACTGGATTTCCTATCAGATACGTGGGTGTCCCACCCAATCTGAGACGGGCATGCCAGGGTCGTTCTGCCTGGACATTGAGGAGTTTCGGTTACCAGGACTAACTTACCTATGGCACTATACTGAACTGAGAGGAAAGTTTCACTGTGTACATAAAGCAGTAGCCTTTTTCTTACTATCCTATCTTTCACTTCTTGCCAGCAGCAACCTAATAATTATCAGCAGATCTGTTCACAGACAACAGGGAAAGATTTTAAATCAAAAAGAATTCCAGAAAGGTGCCAAGATCAGAATCCCAAGATGAAGGATTTAAAATTTATCCATTGCAATGGTTCCTGCAAGAAGAGACTTTTAAAGCTAAATTGAATAACACGCAAGACATACATTGGTTCTAGAACTCACTGGATTACAATTTACAACTTAGGTTTTTATTGTTCTTTTACATGTCAAGACCATAAATAACTAAGATATAACTAAATATGAAATATTTAAATCCTAAAATCCACATATAATTTATTATTTTATTCAGGGAAAAAGTTAAGAATTCTTCTAATTAAGAGCCAAAATCCACTTACAGACTCAAGTTCAATAATACATATAATCAAGAGGGACATACTGCCACCCCCACACAAGAGCAAAATGTACGTGAGCCCAGAAAAGGGAGTAGGAAAAATCCCTAAAAACCATCTTCAAGAATGAAAATCAATCATTGGAAACAACAGATGATAGTCTACATATTTCTTTAAAACTCAAGATTTATGTGGGAAGGGGAAAGAAAAGCGCAAAGTAAGTTATACCTCCTCTGAAATAATAGACTGTTTGGTATTCTGAGAAGAATCCGTTGGTTCTTGGTTCTCCATTTTCAAACCAGTTAGCTTTTACAGTCCTTAGGTGAGAAGTTCACGCTGCAAGATAATGAGATTTGTTTAAGCTAAAATTATTTTTTTGAATTAAACATTTGTCTATAGGCCCCTAGTCAAAGTACTTAGATGGCAAAAACAATTTTTTTTTTTAAGAGACAGAGTCTGGCTCTGTTGCCCAGGCTGGAATGCAGTGTGATCATAGCTCACTGTAGTCTCAAACTCCTGGTCATAGGCGATCCTCCTGCCTCAGCTTCCTGAGTAGCTGGGACTACAGGCCACTGATATTAAATACATTCACATTATTGTGTCCCATTTACTTTTAAGTTTTGACATATATCAAAATCACAGTTACACAGAAAGAGTTAACTAGTACTACAAGGTCTGTTATGAGAAGAACAAGACACTATCCCATTTGTTGTAAGCTACTAATTCCTATTTCTTGGTTAATTTCTTCACTTTTGGACTTTGTCTGAAAAATATTTTTTTTCCTACCCTCATAGTTGATTGATAATTCTGGCTGCATACAGAATTATAGGCTGAAAACAATTTTCTATTAAAAACCCGGAGGCATTGCTCAGTTGTCTTCTGGCGTTGCTATTGAGAAGTCTGAAGCTATTCTGATTCTTGATCCTTTTTCCATGTGGCCTGTTTTCCTTCTCTGGAAGCTTGTATTGATGGTTAGTCATGTCTTCAGGTTGATGTTACTGTCACTCAACTGGCTCCTTTCACTCTAGAACCATCATACTTTCTTTACAGGGAACTGTCCTCGAATTGCTTCACTGGTAATTTCCTCCCCTCTATTTTCTCTATTCTCTCTTTTAAGGACATTATTGAGCTGTTGAGCTTCCTGAATCCATCCTCTTTTATCTTTTTCACTGCTAATCTCCCTTTCCTTGTTATTATCTACATTTCTCAATGGCTACTCTAACTCCTCACCACCCTTCTGTTCCCAAGGTCTCTGACTACCCCACCTCTTGACTCTAGCTTCAAAGAAAATACAGACCAACCAGCATCCACTCTATTACCAACTGTCTTAAAGGAAAGTGTCTTTGCTCTTTGTTTCTTCTGGGACCCAAAATCATAACTATACTACCCATCAAATCTTCAATTTTTACCCAAACAGCAAGTTTCCCTATCCTAAAATACAACAAACAACACAATAAACTATATTAATTAAATTAAAACAAACGGTATTCATCAAGTGCCTTGAAAAATCAAATACCTGGTTGCCCATCTCAGGTAGCCTAGCTAAACACCTTGTGGCAGACCTGTTAAAGGTTAGGTGGGTGCTAGGACTGCCACACTGGGCAGAACAGCCAAAGTCCCTGCTCTTCTGGGTCTCATTTTCTAGTGGGGAGGGAGAAAAAGTGAGGAAACAGAATTTATGTCAGGTGATGCTAGGTAATCCACATAGATACTTAAATACTTAGAAACAGTCATTGATACCTAGATCCCTATTAAGAGAATAGGCAGTTATTTCTTTGAAGGTATCCCAGAGCATAATTTATTAGATAAACTTTTATCTGGCATTGGTTGAGACAGTTTATAGACAAATAGTATAGGCAATCAAAGTAGCATGCCAATCCAAATGAAAACCAAAGATGGACAACCAGCACTCTACTACCTGTCTCTACCTTGCATGCCCTACACCCAAAGAACTCCAGATTTTTATCTTCTAGATATCCTTTCCCTTCTATCAATAACATATACATCAAAGGAGAAGAAACAAAAACTTTTCCTTTAATTCTAACACCTAGGAAAAAATAACTTCTAGGCAACCAATCAGTCCCATTTAGTGCACAAAATAATCTGTCTAGAATTGCACAAAATACTTAGACTAAGTTAAATTTCTATCTCCTTTTTAAAAGTGACATTCTAACCCCAAATTGCTTTTCTGTGTATACCAGAACTTCTGAAAAGCAAGGAACTGCAATTCTCTATAGTATAAACACTACCAGAAGATATTGGTAACCTCCATGTTTCTTTATAAAAAGAGTTCTTAACCTAGATTCCCAGAAACCCTAAACAAAAAGGTCATAGCACATAACCCAGAAGAGCAGAGTGACACTCCCCTGACCTCCATGTGAATATCTTGATGGGAAAAGCGGGTCAACTAGTCTAAAAAGCTTAAAGGCACTTAAGCTATGTGCTAGGTTCCCTTTTGTATATGTCTGTATAGGTTCCCTCAGATTTTCAAAAGGATTGTCGGCTGCCAAAGTGAGAAAGTACTATAGGTACTCTGAAGGGTAGTTCCTCGTCTACTACTCTTTATACGATTGAGTTCAACTCAATTACAGAACAGTCCAAAGATCAATTGAAAGATCAATCCTCCGTCAGCACATTAAGTTTTAAAATTTAAGCTAGAATGTTGGAGAAATAGGGGGAAAAAAGCTACGTAAATTTTTTTTAAGTGGCAGACAGGGCTGGTCCTCCCTAGGGTAGTTTTCTAGAAGGCAATTGGTCCCCCAGGGACACAGTGTGCTGCAGCAATCCGCTGACAGCATAAATGACAAAAAATAAGTGATTAAGGAGTGCTTTCAAAAGTACATTCTTTACTATGAGATTCCCAAAATGTTGCAGGAAGACTATAAAAACACCTCAAAAATAGTACTGAAACAGAAAAGGAATATTATTTTTAGCACCATTTCAAACACAGAAGGCAAATGGTGCCATTTGGGGGCTAGTCACTACAAGAAACCTGCTGCAGGAAGAAACAGATGAGGTTTAACTTCCATGCTTCATGCTGCTCTGTCTCCACCACTATGGCAGAGCCTTCCTCAAGTGACTCACTGCTATCTCAAGATTTTAAAGCAAAGTTTAATTTGAATTTTATCCACTTCGATTTAAGGTCTTCTACATATTGCCAATATGTGTATGTTACAAAAATACACACGTCCATGATGTTGCATGTTCTACAGTTTCATTCATGAATGTCCTCCGTCTCCAAAGTCACCAACTGTTTTAATTCACATAATCCATTTTAACTCAGTTCATTTTGAACACTAAAGGTCTATGGTGGGTCAGATGCATAATTTTCCAAGGTACAAAAACTCTAGGGAGGGAAAATGTTACGAGATTCTTGCAACTCAGAGTTCTTGCACAATGGTGGGCAGAAGTCTTTGCCAGCTTTGTGAGCATGGGCAACTGAAATGTCTGAGTAGGTACTCAGCACCGACAGACCTCTGTTCATGCCCTTGAGCACCTTAGAGTTTAGCAAGCAAATCAGAAGGGCAACGCCTGCCACAGAGATAACACATTAGGATGTTTTAAAGGAGTGACAAGTCACATCCACTTGGGAGGCAGGGAGGAAAATGATAAAGATTTTTAAAAGGTAGTCTGATATTAAGATGTGATTTAGAAACCAAGAAGGCAGGGAAGCGTTCCAACTAGAAGGAACCATATTAATAAAGGCAGAGATACTAACTGGGGCAAGGTTGAGAAATTTCTATAGTTTGACAAGCTTTGTGGTTCTTAACCTTTTCCTGTACCCCCTTCTCCCACCCTCCCCTTTAAAAAACCCACATATAATGGATGACGTTAGCATTTGCAAACACATTTATTTCCAAAGGCCATACACCGATTGGGCTGGATCCCTGCTGCCTAGTTTTGGAGTTAGGCAGCAAGTACAAGCCTCTATTATTTAAAAGGTAAGATAAGTGATTAATTTTTCACAAACTTGAGTATTTCAGTATTAGTAGCAACAGCTGGAAAAGAGTTCACCGGAGTTAAGATTCAAGATATTAAACCAAGAATTCAAAAGCCAGGTTGTGAAATTTGTACTCAGGCTCATTATTCAATTATTACCATACCTGAATCCCCTGGAATCTGTTGAGGGTGCAAAGTGAAGCAAAAATCAAAACAAAAATTATATGTTGGCTAGTCTCTCCCTGATAAAAGCTGAGTATTTTAAACACAGCAATACTCAGCCAAATAAAGGATGTAGGAGCTCAGCTCATAAGCAGAGCTTCTGATGGACAGGAGCATGAGTTTCCATTAAACTTGGAACAGTTTAGTAATTGCATAGAGAACTCAATAAGGCAGTTTGAAAGAAATTTAGTAGGGAGGGGATCAATTTCTTGCAGAAATAACTTATTTTATGATTGTGTTGTTAAAATCAAGCATCAAATTAAGCATGTCTAAGATGCCATTCTGTAACAGAAGGAATGGCCTGGAAAAAAAAAAAAAACAGGCAAAAATATTTTCTGTCCTTTAAAACATCCTCCACTCTTTTTTGAGAACTAAAGCCTGCATCCCTGCCTCAGGCCACCGTTTGGAGGGGTAGAGTAAGTCTCTTCTTTATTTGTGCAACAGGAGATGGCCCAGCCTGGACCTGGTATAGGGAGGTCCTGGGTGGAGGTGGCGAGATTGCCCTTAGCAGAGATGGGATGATCACAATCAACTGTAGTTGAACAGTAATTGCCTCAAGTTGAGAACCCATCCTTTAAAAGCTCTGTATTTTTGTCAATGTTCAGGAAATTTGGATTTTGAGAGGAGGTCTACCATTTTCCTCCTTTGCTGGCAAAGTAATAAAACTTCTCTTTCCTCCTCCCCAAATCACTTGTCCTCGTTCTTCTGATTTGGCCTCATGGACAAATGCCCAATTTGGTAACAATTCTATGCTGTGGCAGGCTGATTACACAGTAAAGCCACCTACCTGATTTATAAGGAGCAAAGAATCAAGTAATTTGTATAGTTATATTTAATAATTTTTATTATAATTCTAAAACTTAATTTTTTTTTTTGAGACAGTTTCCCTCTGCCACCTGGGCTAGAGTGCCATGGCGCCAGCCCAGCTCAACCTCAAACACCTGGGCTCAAGCAATTCTTCTGCCTCAGCCTTCTGAGTAGCTGAGACTATAGGCACACGCCAACACAGTAATCTAATTCTTTGATTTTTAGTAGAGACGAGATCTTACTCTTGGTTTTTGTTTTTTGTTTTCTTTGAGACAGAGTCTCGTTTTGTTGCCCAGGCTAGAGTGAGTGCTATGGCATCAGCCTAGCTCACAGCAACCTCAAATTCCTGGGCTCAAGCAATCCTACTGCCTCAGCCTCCCAAGTAGCTGGGACTACAGGCATGCACCACCATGCCCGTCTAATTTTTTCCATATATATTAGTTGGCCAATTAATTTGTTTCTATTTTTTTTTATAGTAAAGATGGGGTCTTGCTCTTGCTCAGGCTGGTTTTGAACTCCTGACCTCGAGTGATCCGCCCGCCTTGGCCTCCCAGAGTGCTAGGATTACAGGCGTGAGAGATCTTACTCTTGTTTTAGCTAGTCTTCAACTCCTGAGCTCAAACAATCTTCCCACCTCGGCCTCCCAGAGTGCTAGGATTACAGGCATGAGCCACCATGCCCAGTCAAAAATTTCATTTTTAGGCCGGGCGCGGTGGCTCACGCCTGTAATCCTAGCTCTCTGGGAGGCCGAGGCGGGCGGATTGCTCAAGGTCAGGAGTTCAAAACCAGCCTGAGCAAGAGCGAGACCCCGTCTCTACTATAAATAGAAATAAATTAATTGGCCAACTGATATGTATATATATAAAAAAAAATTAGCTGGGCATGGTGGCGCGTGCCTGTAGTCCCAGCTACTCGGGAGGCTGAGGCAGAAGGATCGCTCGAGCCCAGGAGTGTGAGGTTGCTGTGAGCTAGGCTGATGCCACGGCACTCACTCTAGCCTGGGCAACAAAGCGAGACTCTGTCTCAAAAAAAAAAAAAAAAAAAATTTCATTTTTAAAATATAATATTTTGACGGATCCTTCTTTTGTTCCATTTATGGTAAAATTTTGGTACTCACATCAAATGGATTCACTTAAGTAATAATTTCTTTGCTGACAGTGATCCTCAGATTAATGAAGACTTCCTGTATTTGATTTGGTAATGATGGAAAACCACTGAAAATTTTGTATGGGTTTTCTTTTTACTCTTCCGGCAGGTGTGGGGGTTGGGTGGGCAGGGAGGGAACCAACATTTACTGAGATTATGCCACTTGGTGATTTACGGTAATCATTTACCAGGTGGTTTATAATCATCACATTAAATTCTGGTTGAGCAATAGTGAACTGAGTGTAATGGCCCCTGGGAAGGTTAATTGGTTACAGCAGTATGGTAATGAGACTGGCAAAGAACTCCCTGTAACAGTCCAGGCAAGAGAGAACACAGATTTGGAATAAGGTGGTAGCAGTGGCAAGTTTTTAATTCCTTGAAGATGGGAGTTTATTACTTGTCCTCAAACAGCTTCTAGGAAAGGGGTAATCCAAGCTAATTCTAAGAAGATGGTTTTAAAGGAGGTTGGGACATCAGAAGCAGAAAGGGGTGGTGCGGTGCTCAAATTTGGACACACTTGAGTTTGAGATATTGGCAAAATATCCAAGAGGAGGAAACCATTATTAGATAGTTGGAAATACTAATCTAAAAGGATTAGTCATGCTACGAACTGAGAGAAGGAAATATGTTTTTTCATTACTTAATTTGGAATTGCACATAACCCCTTTCCCCACAATCACTTGAATACTGACATTTCAGCATGCATGAGAAAAACAACTATTTCCACTGTTGCAAAGGTTTTATTGAAGAAACTTGATGAATATACTACATAGCTAAGTAGAAGACAAACATGGTGGTTGTTTAAAATATAGTGAAAGCTAATTTAGCTGTCTCCATTCAAATTACTTGAGTATCTCCTGTTTGTAATGTCAAATTATTAGATGCTAGATGAATGTGTAACAAGTTACTTAAAACCAACTGTAATACTAAAAAGTCACTGAACACACTTCCAAACTAGATAGCCTGAATAAAAGCTATCTATACAAATTCCTTCCCCATAGTGTCTATAAGTTTACAAACTTAGCTGCTTCTCTACAAATAAATAACAGCTATTCCAATTTGCAACTGTCTCAACCTCCACACTCAAATGTCTTCTGGACTGGTAAAGTATTGCTTCTTCCAGAAGGACCATGTTCCCAGGATCTATTTTCTCCCATACAGTTATTAATTCCTATCTTCAACAGAAAATACCTCACCCAAATGTGCCCCGATCAATGCTAACATTTCCTTCAGCTGCAACTTTATTTCCATGTCAAATCAAAATTGCAGTAACCTCTTATGTCCACCACTAAGTCTGTCTTAGATCTGTAATTGGCCACATTCTACAAGCATATATGGAATATCGTACTGCTTCTTTCCTTTAAAACAGAAAGGATTGTGTAATCCTGGATCTAAGAAGTACATACTTACAAATGAAATACTACCCTCCCTATCCCAAAACACTGCAACATTATAATCTATTTACTTCTTCTTCAAAAATGTATCCTTTAAAACAACGCTCCCAACTAACCACTTAGCCAGTAACATATTTTAGAAAACAAAAACAATGTATATTCCTAGGGGGAAGAGTTTCTAACTCCAAATAAGCAGAAGATTCAGTTTATTATCCTAATGAATAGCTTTCTAAAGAGACCTGCAGTTGATGGAGTTAATTTAAAACTGCGTAAGTGGACCAGTAAATATGTTCAATTTTAAGGAGAGATCTAAAATGTGTGCTCTTAGACATAGGTGCCTGGGACAAGCCCAAGGCTTGTAATTCTAAGAAACACAACTAGACTTTAAAGAAGTTTCTCAGGAGCTGGTGGTTTTTTCTTTTTCTTTCATTCATTCATTCATTCATTCATTCATTCATTCATTCATTCATTCATAGATAGTCTCGCTCGGTTTCGCAGGCTAGAGTGCAGTGGCATCACTGTAGCTCACTGCAACCTCAAACTCCTGGGTTCAAGCGATCCTGCAGCCTCAGCCTCCTGAGTAGCTGCGTCTACACGCTGGCACCACCACGCCCGGTTAATTTTTTCTATTTTTGGTACTGACGGTCTCGCTCTTGCTCACGCTGGTCTGGAACTCCAGACCTCAAGCGATACTCCTGCCTCGGCCTCCCAGAGTGCTAGGATTACAGGCGTGAGCCACCGCACCTGGCCTCTCATTCTTTTAAAAAACCAAACAAAATTGAATTTTGTAGGGTGACAGGAAGGAACAGGAGTGGGGAAAAAAGAATGATATTAAAAGTCCGATTAGAATTCTTCCAGTCGTAATGACTCCATCAATCACTGCAGGGATACTGATAAAAACCTGGCTTTATTTTTCCAGGCTGATTAACTTTTGCGGGGCCGGACTAAATGCAATTGACGCTCAAAGGTGGCAACTCTAGTTTTTCCTGTGCTTTCTCAAATTTACCTCCTCTCTTTTACCTCCAAAGTCTAACCCTCCTCCCCCAGTTCCTACAGGCGGGGTTCCTTCCCTCTGTCTCTCCAAACCCTCAACCGCAAACCGAGCATTCTACTCCTTTCAGGTGTCGCTACCGTTACACTCAAACTACTCCCAGTAGCCCAGGCTCTTACACCCCAATCCCTGGCTTTCCTCTCGCGCTTCCGCAGCGGTCGCCCCCTCGCGTGCCCAGACGCGGTCCCAGCCGCACATTGGGAGACACGCGCGCGGCTGCCCGCCCTATCCAGATGTGCTCCCTCTCTCCTTCTCCCTCTCCTGCCCAAAGAGACCTCGTACGGTGATTGGCCCGCTCCCAGTTACTTACTGGGGGTGAAGAAGGGAAGTGGGAGGAAAGAAAAAAGGACAAATCCGAGGCTGCAGTCTCAGCAGATGCCAGTGCCACGGCTGGAAGCACCGGCGCCTCTCGCGGTGCTAGGACGATGTGCGCGCGCCCTCCCCTCGGCACCCGTAGAACCTCCGCCTCTTACCTAGCTTCAGATGATTACCTTCCGGGTCAATGTGCGTCTAGGCCGGAAAGGAGTCGTAAACGCTTTAAAATTCCTTTCTCAACACGGCCGCAGTTCCTCTTTCGAGACCAGAATTCTTTTTGTGTGCATGCATGCCAAGAATACGCTCCACGATTCTCCTTCTCCGCTTTCTTTTCTCCTACTTCCTCCTTGTTTTATGGACCGGAAGAGTCCTTGAACCAAAATAGCTCGGCAGGCACTTCCGGGACTGGAGCCCAGGGTTCCGGGAGAGCGGAGGCAGGAAAGGGATAAGCACCGGCGGCGGCAGCTGGAGGATGAAGAAGGAGCATGTGCTGCACTGTCAGTTCTCCGCGTGGTACCCGCTCTTCAGAAGCCTTACCATCAAGAGGTAAGATGGGAGGGGTTAGGCCGGGCCAACTGGCAAAAGGGAACTGCGACATTTGGGCCAATACTATCTCCAAAAAAAACCAGCAGGCCTTCTTCCGACTGTATGGGAGCGACTGTGTCAAGATGTCGACTTCATAATGGTATTCGAGGTGGGGAGGTTAATGAAGGAGGGCCGTGTTTGCCGTGCGTCCTGTTGCGGGCCAGGGAGTGTGGTGGGGAGGTGGGAGGGTAGCTGGTTGTTCACTGGGGGTTGGAGGTGGGGTGAGTCGTGGATTAACCTAGTTTAGGTTTGGGAGTTCACCATCACTACTTTTGGAAAGGCTACAGGCGCAAGGTGATCTGGAGAACTGGGTGGTCTGGGCTTTGCCACTAACTAGCCCACCGAGTGACTTAATTGCTCCCTTGGGAGGGATGTGGTAGTTTGGGGGAGTTTTTGGTCAAAGAAGACATAATTACTATTAGGAGAAATAAATGCAACGATCTGTTGTACAGCATGATGACTGTAGTTAATGACGATATGGGTATTGTATTCTGGAAAAAAAACGCAAAAATTAATTGTTCACACTGCAAAGATAATCATGTGAAGTAATGCATTTGTTAATCAGCCAGATTAAACCATTCCACAATGTATATGTACTTCAAAACATCAGGTACACGATAAATACATACAGTTTTATCTGTCAGTTTAAAATATGTTGTGGATAGAAAGTCTGGAGTTTGCTGTTATTGATTTTGTGCGCTGACATTTCAATCATTGATGATTCATTATATAATTTTTTCATTCAGTAAAAATCAAATATATACTTTACAAAATAAATTGTGCAGTTGGCTTCGAATTGTGGCAAGTTAAACTGCATAAGAAAAAATTTCAAGTTCTTAAATACTATTGGAATCTTTGGGAGAACCTTAGATTCACTGTACTTACACTGTCATTTGTTAGCTTTATAAGAGTTAAGTATTTGGGAAGGCTTATTTGTAATCAAACAATAGACATTTAAAATAAAATTGAATACTTTTTTTATAAACAGAGTTTAAATTTTTAAACTTACTTTTAAATTCCAAAGGCTCACTTGAAATCGATTAAAATTTAGTTAGATTTACAAACAGAATAAAAATTTTAGTTGAACTTAAGGGCCTGAGGAAGAACTAGGTTTTGAATGTGGAATTGTAACTTTGATGCATCAAATATTAATTTCTAAAACTGAAATGATCCATTAATAATCTTTTCTGTGCACAAAACCCATTTGTAATGTTCAAAAAAATTTGTGCCATAAATAAATAACGCATATTATAATTTGATATTTTATTGACTCTGTAAAAGCAGGCTGTAATCTTTTTCACTTTTTAAAAATATACACCTCAAGATCAAATTAATAGCATTACTTTGCTATTATGTATGGCATAATTAGGTATGTATAGCAGGAATTTTTGATGATTTATTATTACAGGGAAAACCACTAATTATCTCATAAGTTTTTAAGTGACTTCAAGTATGGCTTTGCCATCTTTAATTATGATTATCTGAAACAAATTAAGCTAAAGCATGCCCAGTTAAGCAGCTTTGTATCTGTTGATTAGCTGAATAGAATGCGACCAAAACACATCCAAACATATCATGAATTCTTAGCCTAAAGTGCTTATTGCCAACCAAAGATTAGTTTCCAGATCTTGAGTCTACTTTTGCCCTCTGTCTTAGAAGATGGCCCAATGCTATTAATCATCTGGTTTATTTTGCTGCTTTTTCTGTGTTGTGCAAATATCTGCTGGTCTCTTATTTAAAAGACACAGAAACATTGTGCTCACTCTGAATTATTTTGAGCTTGTTGTTTTCATATTGTGATTTCCATCTGGTTCTTTGGATTTAGCTGTTTTATGTTCATTTGTTTCTTTGCCACAAAGACCTTTGTAGTAATTATGTAAACTGCAATATTTATTCATATTATTTTAATTCCTTGTCTGCTTCAACCAAATGTACATCATTAACATTTGCCACTTCGTATTAAAATAAAAAGAACAAATAATTCAAAAATTAATCTTGTGTGGCCAGGCAAGGTGGCTCACATCTATAATCCTAGCAGTCTAGGTGGCCGAAGCAGAAGGATCACGAGAGCTCAGGAGACCAGGCTGAGCAAGAGCAAGACCAGTATCCACTAAAAATAGGAAAATTAGCTAGGGGTGGTGGCACATGCCTGTAGTTTCAGCTATTCCGGAGACTGAGGCAAGAGGATGGCTTGAGCCCAGGAGTTTGAGGTTGCAGTGAACTATGATGATGCCACTGCACTCTTGCAATCTACCCTGGGCAACAGACCAAGACTCTGTCTCAAGAAAAAAAAAGAAAAAATTAATTAAGTGTGAAATTTTTTCTCTCTGCTTATGTTGTCTTTTAAAATGATGCCTTTTTTTTTTTTGGTATGTGTGTTTTTTGTGTTTTTTTTTTTTTTTTTAGTGTCATTCTTCCACTTCCTCAGAATGTGAAGGATTATTTACTCGATGATGGAACTCTGGTGGTTTCAGGAAGGTAAGGTACATTTAAAAAAAAAATCCTCAAACTTTATCATAAATGTGGTAATGATTAATCTCAACACTTACCATATAAAAATGAATAAATTAGCTTAGGCACCATTATCTCCCTTTAGCTTTTCTTCCTTCCTAGCTAAAATTATATGCTGATCCTTGTCTCATGTTTCTTGTCAGTGCTTAGTTAATATTTTCAAAATTGAGTACTTCCCCCTCTAATAATTACTGTTGTGAAATTGAGCAGTTCCTTTACCTCTGCTTTTAGGACGTTTCCTAAAGGATATGATAACTTTTCCTTCTGAAGGTAGCAGGGTTGGGGAGGGCACATTAAAACCCTTTCAGATCTTTCAGTTTTTAAGATAAAAAATTCATTGTCCCTTGCAAACAGAAAGCTTTACGAGGGTTTATCATTTAACTCCCCAACATTTTGTTCTTCACACTTGACCTGCCATGGCACCACCTACACCTTCTAAAAGCTGTTTAGGTAGTTCTCCTATTTGTAAAGGGAAGAAGTTATCATATTTCATTCTTTTTAGTGCAAACTTGGGAAGTTTAAGAATCACAGAATTTAGTGAAGTACAATATTTTCATTCAAGTGTCTGCTCAGAAGTCATTTTATGTAAGTGTTTGTCCTTCACCATCCTTTCTAAAATAGCCTGACAGTAATCCTTGCTGGTTTATCACTTTGTCCTCAACCTTCTTTTATTTTTCTACACTTAATTCCACCTGACACAAACCTCTTAATTGTTTTATTGGAATGCAACTTCATGAGAATAGGGCCTTGGCCAATTTTGATCACCCCAGCTCATGGAACAGTGCCTGATCCATCAGAGGTGCTTGATATACACTTGTTTGGTGAATAAACCTTAGAAATATAGAATTGTGTGTGTTTTTGATAACACTAAATTGACCTCATATTTTTGCCTGATGGATTTTAAGTGTAGCTTTCTGGATTGTATTTCTGTTTTTGTTATTTACAGCCCCTTGATAACCTGGAAGGTATTAATGTAAAGCCTCATTAATTTGGAATAATTGAAGGATAAAGATACAGTAGAAAAGTTGGATAAGTCTCAGCTTTGGGATATTTACAAACTTAATTTTACTTTTCCCAAATATAGCACATATAATAAGCTTATAGAAATGAGACTGTAAATAAAATGACTCAATATTAACAAATATGTGATACATTTCAGTACTATAAACATATTGAAGAGCTCCTATATTGATTTTCACTGGCCAGATGTTTGCACAGTCTCTGATTTAGGCAAGTACTGTGTTAAATACTGTTAATCATTGCTGCATCTGTATATTATAGCAATGCGCTGATCACGTAAGGACTCTGCCCTTTTAGAGTTGACAGTTCAGCTTCATCTTTTGGTGAGCATCAGTATGATGTAGTGCTGGTTCTTGAGTCAGATTGCCTAGTTTTAGATCATATCTTTGCTATTTTCTAGCTCTCTGTTCCTCAGTTTCCTTGTCTATAAATGGGGCAAATGACAATATAGCACTTACCTTGCAGGGTTTGTTACGAAAATGTGAGACCTGCTAGAGGGACAACTAAGGTGGTGACAATAGAGGGGAAATTGTGAATGGATTTGAGATGATTTGGAGCTTGCACCTTCAGAACTTAATGATGGAGAGGGAAGGGTCAAGAATTCCTCTCAGATTTCTGATTGAACAGCTAAGTGAATGAAGATGTCATTGGCTCAGGTTGAAAAAAAGCAATGTTTATTGAGATTTCAAGAGTAGTGGTTTTAGGTTGGGTTACTTTTGTAGATAAAAACTTGAAAATTATAGGTATAATTAGATGAGGTACATTTACAATAAAATGCATAGATCTTAAGTGTACAATTTGACAAATCTTGATAAATGTATTACATGTATTTCACCACCACTCCATTCCCCAGAAAGTTTTCTGTTATCCCTTTCTTAGCCTGGTTTTGTCAATTCTAGAATTTCATATAAACAGAATCTTGTAATATGTATTCTTTTGTATCTGTCTGAATGGAAACAACAGAAACTGTTTTTCCTCTGCTCTGACACCACAAGAATAAACACAGAAGACTTCTGTGACCAAATGTA